GGATGTTCCTCAGTGTTGGCAAGTCACCTTCCAGCTTGGGTGATCATCTCTCCCAAGCTACATTCACACACAACATGACCTGAGAACAGCTAAGGGTGTCAACAAGAGAGTGTGTTTGTGTGTCCTCGGTTGGGAAGAAGAAAAGAAACTTTGGAGTTCTCTCCTACGGTTGCCATGTTCCTTCCGATTGAAATCTTACACCCATTTTAAGCACAACAGCATTTTGGGGGGGTCAAGAGAAGAGATTCTTGCTTATTTGTCAACAGAATCAATCCCAGAATGTCCCAGATGTATTTCAAGCACCACAATACCTTCCTCCCAATAAACCATTCCTAATTTTTTGGAAACCAATCAGTGGCTATCAATCCTTTGAGTCCACAGTGCTCCTCTCCCCGCCCAAATGTACAAAATCAAACAATGGAAAAGACTCACACACTTGGACCAGTTCAAGCACCTTGTTGAAATTCACAAATAAATCTAACCTGGGAAAACACATTCTATTACCGATCACCCTTTCGAAGCGAGAACAGTTTCTTCCTGAAATGTGTTTTTTTTTTAAAAAAAACCACAAGTTTCTTTGGCAACACTTTACCACAACTTTAAAAACTATATATTTTTTAAAAAATAAACCAATCCCACACCGTATATACGGTATGGGATTGAAAGAGGCAAACCCTGCATGCAGTCGTTTTTTTTATTTTTTATCATCGCTCGTACAAAGAGGATTTGAGATGAGTTTTAAGGCAGAATGGACGCGAGAGGCCAGTGCAGGACTGAATGCGAGACAGAAATGCAATGTTTTTTTAGTGCAAACGCATCAAAGCTTGTGTTAAAGTGTTGCCGTCACTCACGCACAGCTCAGTCCTGATTCCATGTCCTCCAATTTGGGATTCCGTTCCCATCCCTCCCGCTGCCATTTGATGGGAAAAATCCCAAGTCAGTACAATATCTTTGGTGACAACTGTACGACCACGAAGGGACGCCAAGGACAGAGCTAAAACTGTGCTCTGGACTGGTTTTAAACCAGGGTTATCTCCCCACCCACACAAGCGGCGCTGGAGTTACGACTGGCAGGGTGGGGTGGGACAGTATGCATTTTTATTTTTTGGCAAATTCCTTGTTATAAAATGAAACACAGTTCCTCAGACTGCCCCTAGGGAGCAGGGATGATAACCCAGATTAAAACTAGTTCTAAGCACCCCTGGTCGGCCAACTAATCCTGCCGAGAATGAAACAGAAAAGGAGGGGCACACTAAGGAAGTGGGGGCAGCGGCCATGTTTGGGGTTGGGGAACGGGGTCGAGCTGTACCAAAGATCACACTTTGGTTTGCCATGTTGCAGAGAATTTGGGAAGAGACCGCGGGCGTCCCTCGGCAAGGGGAAAACAGAGCGCCCACTTGAACGACAGCGACCGAGAGTTTAAAAAATATATTTATATACCTACAAAATGCTATATTGTGCTCATACCAAAGTGACATCCTGCCAGTCTTCTGATGTTTCTTAGCCAAAGAGGACCTCGCGTCTAGCTGAAAGTAGAAGCTGGATTTAAGAGAAGAAGGCATCAAATAGGCAAAAGGAAAAGGGGGGGGGGAATTCATCAATTGCGAGGGGGCTTTGGAAGGGCGGAGAGAGAGAGAGAGAAAGAGAGAGAGAGAGAGAGAGAGAGAGAAGGACACACAACTTGGGAAAACAGTCATGGAGACAGGGGTGTAAAAACAACATGGGAGAGAAGAAACCACAACTTTTGGTTACAATAAGGAATTTCATGTATCTACCTATTTACAAAGTCCACGCTAATTTTTGCATATGCAATCATTGAAAATCAGTGCGAAGCCGAGGATCTCTGTGGAAGAGAAGGTGGAGGATGAGGCGGGGGGAGGGAAGAGGGGAACACGTCCATCTAGGTTCCCCCGGGACCATCGTCAGCTCCCCCTCCCCTCAAATGGACTACAATGGTGCAGGAGAAAACAATTACAACAAAACAGAGAGGACAAAGTGGACCCCGGGAACTCGACGTGTCCAAAAACTTAAAAACGGATCACCCCTTCCCATTCACCCCTTCCTCTTTTTCTTTTTTTTAAATCTAGGTCAGAGAAGTCTCCAAAGTTGGTCCCTTCTTAAGACTGGTGGACTTCAAACTCCCAGAATTCCCCCAGCTGAGGAATTCTGGGAGTCGAAGTCCACCCATCTTCAAAGTGGCCATGTTTGATGACCCCTGGGCCTAGGTGGGCCGATAGGACAGGTCAGCAGATGCTCGGCTGGCTGCTAAAGGGATTTGTGCTCGGCGTGAATTTTCAGGGTGAATCGGCCGTCCCAGCGAAAAACACATCAATTTGGAGGGGATATTTTTGGGGTGGGCAGGAGGTTTTTCCTCCTGTGGCCCTGGGGTTGAGAAAGACCTTTAGACATACACACTTGGTGGAGAACGAGAAAACCTCAATTCTCTGGGTGGCCAATGTTTTCCGCCTTTTATGAGCGGGAAAGGAAAATTGGTGGGTGGCAATTCTAGTGACCTAGCGGAAAGAGGAAGATTATGCTGAGACGGATTTATGGGGACCCCCCCCCCCCCAATAGCTTACAAGGCCTGGACTCTCAATCCTGGCCTTACTTCACTCCACAGAGCGGCCAAATTGACATCTGTTGATCAGCCCTGCAACTTAAGACCCACGTCGCAGTTGGGAAACACACCGGCAATGAGACATGTATACAAAACCAGAATGACGACAAAAAGAAAGAAGGGGAAAACAAAAAATAAACATACACAAAAAAAACCCCATGATTCCTGCTTAAAAATTCAAGCTTCCATTTTTTTAATATATATATATATATTGTTTTCTGACGTGCAAGCCACATTCAAGGCTTGCTTTATATATATATCTGCCTAAATTTTGTGGCGTGTCACAGAATCTAATTAAATCCAATCCTCCCCGTTTTTGCTTCTGTTTCCCTATCAAGCCAACAAACCAAAATGGAAAAAATCCCATTTGAGTCTTTTTTTCTTTCTTTCTCTTTCTTTCTTTCTTTCTCTCTCTCTCTCTTTGCAAATATATAGATATATATATATACATATTTGTTTTTCTCTTACAAAAATAAATTCAATTTTAGGAATTATTTTAATAAAAACAATAAACAACAATAAATTTCTCTCCGTAGAAGATGGTTTCAACGTGTAAACATATTTGTTTCTTTCTTTTTTTATAGATATATAGATATATATTTTCTTTTAAATTAAGATAAAGTGATTTTAAAGTACCCGTTCCATTTCAAAGTGCTAAGACTTCTTTGTTTCTAATCTTTTTTTGTGTGTTTTTATTGCTTTTTTTTTGTGTTAAATAAAACATCCATCTTATTCCACCCAAGTCTGCTTTTTTTTTAATAAATCCTCTCAGTACACACACGCTCCCCTATTTAATTACATTCGACCAAAAGGTTCACCTTTTTTGTAATATACATTTATATTAAAAAGGAAATCTAAAAAGTGCTTGCCAAAAAAAGGAACAAAA